TTCCCCGTGGGCCACTGGCTGTGAGGGTATCTCAGGATTTTATTAACTACTTGCTTAAAGTTCGAGTGTAGACGCAGAAGCCGAGACTTAGTAATGTATGTGAAATCTTCGAGGTGTTAATTCACGTATAGCATTACTTGCAAGATTTCCAAAATGCAACCGTATCCCACCTTTCACTAATAGCATTAGGACCCATGTTCTATAAAAATTATACTACCGGCATAACGACCTCTAGGTAATAGGTACGTCGATTTTGAGGGAAATTTTCCTTTATAAACTTGCTTTGTGCTGAACTTTATGGCAATACTTTTCGATTTCTACAAAATCTCTGTATGAAGTGCACTCCGGATAGCTCTAACGAACGATATGTAACGGCACAGTATAGCCTAGCTATCTTTAACTAGGGAACCGAGGTCTTGCCGTAATGCTAATACATAGGTTTGATAGAGTTTTACTGAATAAGAGTCTAAAACGGTTACATTATCGTGCCTCGCAGTGTAGTAATAAAACAAACTAGTTTTATATGCTACCGAATTACATTGCGGTTTACCGAAACGCGGCGTTCTCCTGACGGTTTGGGCAACTTGTGAAATCGTCTGCACGTTGCAGAATAGAACGAGCCAACTTTTACTGCTGGTCCTGGAAGATAACTGTTTAAGTACCAGATTCGTCTCTTTAACTACTTCAGATAGATCAGGAGTCAGAGTCTGCGGGTCCCCTTCTTAGACTAGAATTGCTGCCCACTCCAGATAACGACCCACGATCATTTCTTTAAAAATAATCGTATGTCATTTAATACGATTGAGAGCTTAAGTCCTGCTAACTAGGCATGACTGCAAATCAAATTACCGCGCAGATATGGGTCACCTGGACTTGAAGAATTTCAATTTTAAGCAAAACGATTTCGGAAATGTATGGGATTGTATAACTTTCATTCGTGAAGGAAGTATAGCATTGAGAAAAATTATGTTGCATTATCGGCATAGCGGCCGCGACAGGAACCAATTATCTCTTAACCTTGGTTCAGCGAAGTTCCCAATATTATTGTGAATCTAATTACCAACTTTATGAAATGAGTAGACCGGCGCCAGAGGCCCCACAATGATCATGACGTGATGCATTTCAATGGTATAAATGTTTTGAGCTTTTCGTCCCTTTTGGTCCGTTCCGCCACGTCGAAATTGAAATATATTCACCCGTATATTTCTAAGCCTAATAGATGACTGCACTGCCAATGCATTTGAGCCTTGTTTTAGGAAAAGTCCTTTGCTGCCCAAATCTGTGACACCATGGATTAGTACTAGGTAACCGCCTTGATCGTTCCTTTCAGTCTCTCAGATCTTGAATTGAACACTTCATCTAGATACGATCGAATATATACAAACTGTACTGTAAATAATGGTTTGTGATTATGTACTATTTTTATGCCATCTGCCACTTCAGTTACATCAAAATACTAGATTCCGTGTACCCGCGTTTACTACTGTTGATTTCCTCTCTGTCTGAAATATCATTCATCTTACAACGTAGCTAAATAGTAGTCTTCGGCGTTTTCCCTATATTGACGTCACTAGCAAGTCTCATCTTTCAAATTCTACGTAGCTTCGAAGTTGTAAGGGTCCTAAACAGGTCAGGCAAAAAAATTGTGCTGAGCTCTACTAAGTTTTAGCTGCTCGACCTCAGACATTTGCCAGCTAGAGAAGCAGTGAATGACGGATGAGACAGCGACATTGCGAATACAGCAGCAACGTAGGAACAGTGGGTTAGGCCGAAGGAGTACAATGGGGTCAGCGTTCCACCGAAGGTCTTCTAGGTCCTCGAATCCTAGTTCCATACAGTAGCTATCGCTGGCTACACAACTATTGAGACTGCACAACAAGCCTGTAGTGAGTGTAGATACGCAAGGTACATGACGAATACGTGGACAATATTACCTGTTCTTACATAAGCAGGCATAGCAGCACGAGTGGCAGCGACACGGAAAGATTCCCCACAGACCTTATAGCAGCAAGCAACGAAAAGGCCATAGCAGTCGACATAAACGGCAGCGGAAGATTTCTAGGGAGGGCGATGGGAAGCGCGTGAGGATAGCCATTATATCTGTATGCGAGATTTAGAGAAAGACTTTTGCAAATCAGTTGCTATTCAATGGAATACATCGAACATTCAATTATGCTCGAGTAGCCGCTTTTATGCTTTTGAAACGGGTAAAGTTTAAACTGAAGTCAGCCTCTCGAACTAAACATTTCTCTGTCGTGCCTTTTTTTGTTGGCCAGTTCTTTGTAGTAAATGAATATCTATGTTTTGGCTAGTTTCACATTGTTGACAGCCTCTTCGCTTAAGTAAAGAAAGCTATTAGTAAATTTTATTTAGAATACCTAGTTTTATCTTTTATTTAAGGTTCGTTTAAATTTGAAAGATTGCTGAGAACCTCATTATAAGATACTTGGGGTTTGCGTCACTATGATTAATGAGAGCTTTCAATTGAATTATATCACAAGTTCGACATCATACAACGAACCGGTTCTTAGAACAACATAACGAACCACTTCCGTGTCGTTCTGGATTGAAAAGATACTTAATGAAAAACTGAATATATCGTGGACGTATCCAAACCATACGGTTTCAGTTCAGCTTTTTTATGTCCTTCTGCCGTGTAAGCTGTTCTTTCTGAAGACGGTCACGGTATGTTGCACTCGCTTTTCTATAGCTCGTTTAATGTGCTAACGTATTTTAGCCATTGTTCGAGTGTACTTTCAGACCTCAATAAGCCTTGACATTGCTTTCTGCAAACGGCCTAGACAGTGAATGACGACAAATGCTACCGACTCTTAATACTTCCTCTGCTACCGCTAGTGCATACGGCACACAAATCACTTGGAAGTACAGAAACCTTAAATAATATATGAATGATGCCGTTGGAGCCGAACGGTCGAGTTATCTAGCCTACAACGACTTGTGTGTTAGAAGAGTCGAAGTTCTGGTCAAATCCATGCAGACGTTTTTAGTGTTACCGGTCAGCCAAGTCCCAGGAGAAAGACCAGCCGTGCAAAGCGGTGTCGTTCATTTGAAGCATCAGTTATTCGCTCGTTGTCGCTGTCGTCATCGTTTCGCATCCACCAAGTAGGGAAGAAAGTTCACTAGCCTCACAAACAGCTGCTTATCGCAATAGTTGGGTGCTCTTTATTCAGAGGCGCGCGTAGTCCGTTACAGGCGACTCCTCATCCCTTCCTGTCTTAGCAACGCCAGGCCCTTTCAACCATCGTAACTTCGAAGGGGTAGCTTGAAATTGGCACCAATCGTAGGTAGATATCGTGTTTGTATAGACAAGTAATAAACATAATCCTGTAAAAAACGTTCCTAATCAAATATTTACTTCTGTTCGTATAGACGTCCGTATGAGCAGCAATGCAAAGGGGAAACAATTCTATATATGTCTATGGCAGTGTCGTATACCTTCACAGAATTAGGGACTGCATATCATCTATCAAGTTTAGAACAGAGGAAGTGGATGGCGTAGGGCATAAGCTAGATACAGGCGTTAGATCAGATTGCCAAACCAATTGGTCTTAGGTCGCGTTATGTTTTTTAGAGATAGGATAAGCCTTTATATTTATCCACATGCTTATCGTTTACCTATTTCTCATTATAGCGAGCGCATTCGGCTAGTTATAATAGTGGTTGATCGTTACTGACGGATCGCAAGTTATATTTCACCTCGACAAACAAGTTTTCTTCATAAATTTGGATCAAGTTCATAGTCTTCGTCGCTCTGGGATCGTACGTATATAAACCCAATAAGAAGTAATCAATCCATTATTATATTTGTACATTTATACTAGACAAACGTAACGCTGAAGGTGCAAGTTAAATGTATTCAGGTACACGTGTGTACAAAAGAACACTGACAGTAATGCTTCAGAGGAAATTATATCATTTTTATTGATTTTGTATCGTGTTTAATTAGAGCTTATGATAGATTCACGTACCCCGTAGGTTTGTTTCTATGCGATCAGTAAATTACCATAATTTTACAGAAAAGAGCAAACAGCCTATACGTCAGTGGTGTGGGCAGACAATAAAGAAAAAATATTTCTCCGTAATTTTCAATTTTGCGAAAGCAGTGCTCGCTGATAAATGAGCTCTGTCAGGATGGATCCAAATTATATACTACATATCATTAGTTGTTCATTAAAATTTACTGCGGTATTACAATTTAATCAAAAATCTCCAACCGTTTGTTGTTCTGTCGTATCACGCCAAGGACAGCCCGCTCATGAACAGCAACAAATCTGCAAGCGTGGGCAAGGTTGTTCGGTCGTAAGCGCCTTCGCCCTCCCTGTTTCATGCCAAATATAATATTTTCTCTTTGCGCAAGCCTGAATTTTTTTTCACACCACTGTACACTTGTGCTAAAGACCGGGCGCTATAGAAAAAGCGCTAAATTGGAGTCGTTCCAATGTCGGTCTATTCACTATAATAATCTACCTATACAAAGCCATGGGCAAAGTCAAGCTAAAACTTTATCTCCGAGACGTATTTGTGTTCACGTACCGTCGATTTATAAGCCATCTGCATATATCAGTAGCCCCATTGTCTGTGCGCGATTCGAGTCGTCGACGCTGTAACGGCATGAGCGTACATGGTTTTATTAGCTTCATCAACAGTTGGCAGGTACGCATTGGAGAAAAGTTTCCGTCACTGACATCCTGAACCTATCTTGAGAGAATCTGGCTTAAGTGAAGACGTTAAAAAAAACCTGAACTTCCCGTTTCTAGCAGTTCTATCTTACGCACCGTTCGATTGAAATGGCGAAGTCCATTGGCCAAGGAGCATTCGAATCGCGTAGTTTACGCCGACCTAAACAGGGATTAGATAATGGGCATATTCAGATAGCTCGCAATAAAGTTAGCCATTACTTAAAAGTACTCTTCGAATATAGGAGACATGGTCAGAATCTGTCAAAATAAAAACAACGCAGTGTTTTCCTGTTTCTGCGATAATTCGATGCTGCGTTCAACTTAAATAATGGTCGGCTATTTCTCTTAAATGAGCTATTGCGATGATTCCCCGTTCTGCTGCTTTTATTGTCACCGAAATGATATGCTCACATGTCCGTGTTCGTGGCCTTAGTCATCATAATTATATAACGAGCGTGCATAGCCCCTACACAAAGCGCTCGCTGACAATGGCCAAAGAAGTAATAGTGATGTTTTGCCCCAACTGTGAACACCAAAGGACACTTGATGAAATGACGTAACAACTTCAACGCCCTGCGACGTTGCATAGCTTTCGAGCCGCTGTCGAGCTCAATTCACTGCGTACGACAGTGAATCGAACGGTCACTACGTTTACAACGCTTGTGATGTCGATGGGAAACGGTATAGGCAATGCCGCTGAAGTCGGTCCCCTATCACTGCCATACACCAAGCATTCGTGTGAAAAGGAACCATTCCAAGTGAGCGCCAATTTGTATAATTCACAATTTTCCAGTTCACAGGGGCATTTATGGCTGGCATGCTTCACCACGCACCTACCGTAGATACGGACGGCTGTTCAGGGTCATCTGACCAACTTAACACAAGTTATCGTCCAGAAGTTTAGTTGTGGGACTCGATTGTTTCTTAGTAGCATTTACTGACGATAGCGGACCAATGGGAACGCCTTGAATCAAATCGTCTATGAGAAGCATCAGATAGCGAAAAAATGCAGTCTATTAAATCTGACAACAAACGCTCGCTTTTCGTCTCACATTGTCTGCACGGAAGTTACCGTTGTTCTCTTGTCTGTAAGTAGACGCAAAATCATGCCTGTTGTTATTTATGAGGAGAAAGATCTGGTCTTAATTGAGCTGAGCCTATAGATCCATGGAAATGCTTTTCGTTTGATTAATTCAGTGTGTTGTACACGACGAGCTTATCGTTCGGTAGCAATCAGTGCGTTGAGGAAGGCCCCACGATTATTAGAATTGCAGAATTCGGCCGCGAAAAGCTGAAAATACCTAGACGCCCACTTCAGAGAACTGTTGACTGTCTAAATACAGAGTGATAGGAGAGTGTTTTGATAGTTCAAAAAGTCAACTAGCGATTTATAAGTGTCTATCTTACGTCTGGTGAAGCAGTCCGAAGGTAGGATAATAAAAACAGGGTAAAAAATCTTTGTCAATAAATCCGCGGCCAGAAATAGTTTCTGTGAGAAAAATTTCAACATATTAAAGGTCAGATATTTTTATGAGTTGATTTCTGTTTAAAGGGTAAAACACTCGTTGTACAGCTACATGCAAATTATAAGAAACCGCAGATTATATTCTAATTAAATTTCGTAACTCTAATTCAAGATCGGTGCCGGTTGCAGGTTCTTTGTATAAGACGCAGTTAGCGGCCGTTCCGTAACGAAGTTCATCTTTGATCTCGACCAGTATTTCGTTAGTACTAAAGGACTTACATTTGCGAAGATAATATTTCAAAAAAAAAAATACGCTTACTTTGTGCTAATAACATCTGCTCTAGATTGCCAGCTTAATTCGGATTAGAAGAGTTCAGATCTGTGTACACGCTTAGAGGCTAGTTTCGATCTGCGAAGCCTTAAAATCGGCCCAGAAACCTTGCCTGATCATCGAATTTGATAGTTTGATAAAATGGGTGGCGGAATGATAAAAGAGGAAACATATCGAAAAATGTCGGTCAGATACGGGTGTCTGTTTTTTTTGTTTCAATGATATAAATTCATTTATATATACTATTTGCTTTGTAAAGCAGGCAGATATCCGTGCAAACAAAGGAACCAAGAAATCTTTTTGTATTCTGATAGACAAAGAGAACCCTCTAAAACACGCCGATGCAGTTTTTTTTCATTGTTTCTTAGTTAAGGGTCGGGCTCCCGGTAGGGTGGACTATTCACGTCCAGCTGTCCTTGGTGGCCTAACAGGGACAGTGTGGATGGACTCGACTGTAACACACGGTCATGGCGGATGACCGGGTCCGCGAACTGTGCAGGTTGATTGGCAGACATCAGTGTTTATTAGAAGCTAAATTAGACAGGCGTCCAGTTGAACTCAGATGATAACTACAGCATCTCAGTTATTATTAGAAAATAGAAAAATGGCGGCACAAGGCAGGTCGTCGATAAGGTCACTGTAATTATAAACACATGAGGTCCTCTGGGCAACCTTCTACACCAAGAACACTATGAAGAGGTAGCGGTAGAAGCGAGCCGAGTTTGTGTGCAGATCTGTAGGTGTTGCTAACACTTCGTTTGCAGCATATGAGACGTAGTCTTACTTCTCTGGAGGCAGCGACATTTTGCAAAGTATTTTCTTACAATTATATACGCTCCCGCGACAAAAAAAGGCGCCGCAATCTAGCCACAAAGAGATAGAGGAATCTTGCCGCATTGGTCTAAACTATAACGTGCGTCAGTAAACAACATTTTTTCTACTCTATTTAGGTAGGCGCACCTTTTTTCTATAATGGTGTAGAAAGAATACATATTTTGAGCCATTAGGATGGGTATTCAATAATATGTTAATGCCAGAGTTCTCGGTTTAATGTAAACTTGTTTATTATGTTTTGAAGCAAACAATCCACGGCGACTTCATTCACAGCGGTGTCTGCAAAAGAGGGCAATGTGCGACAGGACGTACATCACGACACTCAAAAAAACTAACTCGGCTATGAGCAATGTTTGCAGTACAAGATTAACAAATGGTTATGAGATTAAGGTAATACGTTTATCTTAGGCCTTTTGTTAGTCGATTAACTATCGTCAGCGGCGATATATGCCATCCAATTTACGTCTCGCTGAAACTCTTCTCAAAATCCCTTCGAATACGTCTTGTGATTGCCGAAGCTTATACTTTGGAAGATACTCACAACCTGGGCTATTGTCTTTCATTATTAAGTTAGGAATTAGAAGATTTTTCAAATCCGATCATCTTGGTACAGTCATAAGTAAGTTTTATTTCAGTAGGCCAATAAAATAGCTTCAGTAATGACTATATCCTGCCGAATTTTGCGTCGGCCGGAATAGGTCATATCATTTTTGTCCGGGAATGTCAGTTTTCTTTCCTTAGTTATGACTGGAAGTTTAATGCTATACTCTAACAAGAAGAACATTAAACTTCTGGTTTTGTGATTATTCAGTGTGGCTTATTCAACAAAAATGCGCTAAAAATATAATAGTTACAAAGTGAACCCTTTACTACATGTTTGTGCTTAAATCGATAATAGGTATCGGTATTTCTGTAAGTTAATATTGAGCGGAATTTTTTAGAGCACATATAATAGCAGTAATTTTTTATTAAATGCAGCGTTTTCACTGTTTTAGATATGACCTGCGTAATTTTGCTCGCGCACGATCGCGAACGCGCTACTTTAATGCAGCTAGTTCAATTACAATATATACTTGTTGTTATACAAAATTAACACATACACACGTTGGCCGAATTCACTTGGGTTGCAAGGAACGTTGTTACGTACGGGTGAGCTTGTCAGGTTGTGTTCCGGTAAACATATATCGTTGTGTCGGAAGGAGTGTGCTGTCGTCCTCTGTTGTTTGCCCATGCTGCCCACTAAGCAGTAAAACCCACAGGTAGAACAAGTCCTGAGTAGGCAAACAAACAGAAAAAAAAATGGCATTGAAAGAACAGTGCGAAGAGCAAGACGCCAGTTAAGCTACTAAGGAGATTCTTGTTTATACTATCTATTCGCTCCCTCTCGTTCGCTATATCTATGATGTCGCAGTTACACCGTAACTCGTCAGGCTTAGTTCCGAGCCTATGTGTGCTATGGCTGTTTGTAGGTCTGACTCAAAAAGCATCCACGTCGCTCTTTTACCAGTTGACAACGGCTACGACGCCTGCTTATCCGTCGAAAACTTCCTAAACAAGCGAGTTCAGTAGTAGAAACAGCATTAAGTAGGACAGGAGCCTAGCTGCATTGCAAGTGGCCTCTGTTTGCGTCCTCTTAATTTCCTACCTTTGTCATTTACTTATAGGCGTTTGCCCCTTTGTTTTGTTACGCTACTTTTTACAAAACGTGAGAATACAAGGGGCAAACAGTGTTACCTATGATCGCTGTTATTATTATTCGTCTTTGAGATTTGGTGTGCCATCAATAACACCGACCCAACAGCACTGTCCCGCTACCGATTTTCTTTTCCCTAAAGATTAGACGATGTATTCTCTTTCTGTTCAAAGTTTCCATGTATGTCAGCGTATCCAGGGGCGGTAGGTATGTTAGTGTACGTGGGAGGTTCGTGTGCATTTCTTGGATCTATTTGTGAATGTTTCCGCTGCCGCTGGACAACTTGGCTGTCTTTTCGTTCTTCATAGTGTCTTCTGGCGGTCCTGTCGGCTTCGGATACGGCAGCAGCAATGGGGGCGCCGAGACCGAAGTAGTCGATGCAGCGGACACAACGCTTTTCCGCATTCGGGTGTTTATCCTTTGTTTTGCTGGATCTGTGCCATCGTTACCTATTCCTAACCTAGTCTACCAAAGGCCAACTCAAGTTTGCGAAGAAGCAATAGTACAACGCTTTAGCTGCCGCATGCAGCTGGTGTTAGCGTGCCCAGACCAGTCACGTAACGGCCAAGTAGTGCAACAGCTGTCAAGCACCCTTTTTTTTTACCAGAAGTTGTAGCAACTAAAATACCGGTCGGAATGGTTAAGCTATAAAGTAGCCATTAATTCGCAAAGTATCGTCCGGTACGAGAAACCCGAGATTTACGAGGAGACACGTAAGGGGCAAGCTTAAGTAAGGGGCGAGACAAGGAGACCTGCCATTTGTTGGTTCCTCCCTGTCGAGGCGTGACGGTCAAGCCTACAGCATTATACCGCCCTCGCTTGGTCCAACTTGGCTTTCCAATGTTGATTCCTTTCGGGTCAACGCCATCAGCAAAGGCTGAGCCACTAATACTGTTGTTACCGTCGCCATAATTTCCATTTTGATTCAGCAACAGATACAACGGTAGAAGTTATGGAAGCGTCATTTTCTTCTTTAGAAGGTTGTGCTCGCCTGCAACGGCAGTTGAAGCACGACAACTGCTTCGAAACAGCAACAGCAACAAAGATAGAGGCAAAGCCATCAGGCGTTAGGGAGAGAGGTACATCCATAGGGATTCAAGCAAAGGGGCTGCGGGGAGGCGTGGCCTGGCCGGCGGTACCAACTTTTGGCGAGTCCCAAAACAAAGGCAGAAAAAGCAGAGCTGGTATAGATACGCATTTTAAATGCTGTGAGATGGTGGGTTGTTGGCAGGTGATTCGGGCCAGCAAGGAAAACGGCCACTTCATATCTACCCATGCGTAGAAGTCGCCTCTGCGTCCGCACGGAATTGAAGAAGAAGAAGAAAGATAGGGCGTCTTGCAGAGATGGTACCGACAGAGGGAAGCGTAGCCCGAGGGGCATGCACGGTAGTATCAGCCACAGTGGGCAGAGCAACGGCGGGAAAACGGGAGCATACAGTGAGTGTTACAACGTATGCTTGTCCACGATGTCTATATGTGCTTGTCTACTAAGAGCTAAAGAGAACATAAGCAAGATTTTATTGAAGCCGTAGCAAGGTCCAGTATTGTACAATATACAATACAGTATTGTACAATACCGAGCACTCGCTGGCTTGGGTCATCATATATTTTGATGGATATCAAGCATTTCGTAGCACCTCAACACAGGCGGACTATAATGTTTAGATGATAGCATTTTTTTCAAATGTCCCCTTTTCTTTCATGTTCCTGTTGTTCATTTATTTCCATATATCATCGAAAGCGATTTCCTTCTTTCTTACATAAGCCGATTATTGGCCAATCCTCAGTTAATTAGTGACTAACTAAGATATGAGTGCTCATCAACAAGCTATCTTATTGCACCAAAACGTTACAACATACATCGATCTGAAAAATCGTTACACACAGCCACAGAACCAAAACACTTCAACCCGCAACTTCGAAGTACTGCTCACTATCGAATGGACTCACTCCGAATGGATAGACCACAATACGTTTACCTCAAATTTCTCATTGTAGAATACGGAGTTAGCTTATCAGGAAGAAAAGCAAGAGGACTTATTTATTTATACTTGACAACATTATCGTCTGCGACTGGAGCGTATATACTTCGTTCCTGTCATGCAAGGGTACTCTGAGCTGTGTCGGAAGCTTCAGGTGTGTAATGCATGATCAGATCTCTTTGTCTGTATAAACACGTGACGATTGAGTTTACTTAATATCTATATACACAGATAAATATGACCTTGTCATTAGAAAGGAATTGTCTACTGTGGACAGCATCATTTTTGTGGTCTTTCTTACGCCCTCCTGACAGGTTCCCATTCGAAGCACGCTTATATTTACATTAAGCTTTGTTAGTAAATTCATCAATCATGCAGCAGGGAACGTACAGCAGAAAAAACTGGGTTGTGGATAATAACAACCACTGACCAAATCTAATAGGTAAACAAACGATAAAACAAAACACAGATCTATAGTTGCATGAATACAACACGTGATTAGATCTGATCACTTCTTTACCTGTTTCACTATCACCAGCGCTGGCTGAGGGCCTGTGATTGTTATTTACAAACATAAATTTTCACCTATTTGACGTAGTCAAAGATGGGCACTTCTTAACGCCTCATCTGCTTTAAATAAGTCGCTTGTTGGATATCGTTAAGCGGTTAGTATCTATTGAGTGTGTCAATTTCTAAAGATTGTCGCAGATCGAGCGAGAGTAGCCGCTGATAGACGCTGCTCTAACTAACATATATAAGCCTACATTAAAGACCGCCAGGGCAACCGTTAATTAAACCTTCAGATCCAGGACGTACTTGCATTGGCCTCTTAGTTAGGGTCTCTTTTTAAATATAAGCAAAGCTATTTAAAACTTTTCATTATCACTTCACCGCTGTTACTTTTGAAGTACGTAAATCCCGGCAATACGACACGCATTATAGCATTTTCGAAGCCATATACACAATGTCGAGTTCTGAAGTGAAACCTGTTTAAACTTTCAAAAAACTCCAGATCTTTGAACAAATTTACCTAGTAAAGTCAAGATTCCACCCTGCCCACTGCTTTCTTTAGGCTTGACTCGCTAACCCTTAAAGTAGAACCGCTAGAGCTAAAAAGAAGATGGAGAAAATTAGCCATCGTGGAAGTTAAATGAAAGCCTAAACTCAGTGAAAACCTGTTACGTTACGCGCCACGAATCAACATTACCGTTATGGAGGTTCCCATCGTAAGGTTCAGATTTTTCCTGTGCATGCAGTTATTGCGAATTTTTTTAGGTAGCCTTAGCTCGATCAAGTCACATTGAAGTGTAACGCAAAGCCTATGTGTTACCAATCTACGAAAAAGGCTGCTTCCTTTTACAGGAAGTCTAAAGGTCTGAGGCTGGTTCATAGCAGACCGCGAAAACGTCGGTTGACGGCGTGTTCCTTTTGGCTTTGGGCAACAGTTCGCTCCTCTACTGTATGTACAAACCATTTCTAAGAATGCACTCACACCTCTATAGTTTGTTTAATCCCACATCAACTCGGGTCCCATCCAACAACGTCACATAACACTGGTGCAACAGTTGCCCTTGTAAACCTAACATCGTTTGGTGGTGAAGAGAAAAACATCGCAAAACATACTCTTTGAAGCTTTCCTTTGGGCTGTTTGTTTCGTTGACGCATTAATTGTTATGGTTATACGTATTCCTTACCAAAAAATAAGTTTACTACTGAGCGAGCTGATGTCATAGCATATGGATGGAATAAAGAAAAAGAGGAAATCAAGCACAAAAAAATTTGTGCTCCGTGTTACTGAGCCGGAAATTCTGCATCACAATAAAAAAATCGCTTTGGCCAAGAAATAGGCATATTATAAAGAAAATGAATGACTGCAATCTTTAAAATAATCTCAGGGCTAAATAGGACACTGATCCTACACTGAACTGTTTCACAATGCTTAACGCAACTAATAATAATAACAATAATGCAACTTAACGCTTTAATCCGCAGCAAATTCGATACGTCATACAACCAGCTACCATATTATTATGTAATTATGAATAGTCTAATTAGGCAGTGTCTATCAACAGACATATCTTGCTGGCAATAAAAAAAAAAATAGTAAGGAATTATCTAATGCAAATCTGCCATCCGTGACATTCCTATTCAATATAGCACCAGCAAACAAACAATTTGCGCAAAACAAATCTGACTGCATCGTCAATGACATATGTTCGCAGAGATAACCGAATCCGTTGGGTGGCCTCTCCCATCCTTCTTATCACGTTTCTGTATCTGTCGCTTGGAACCGGGTGATTTATTGTTGTAGGAATAGAGATTTATGCGATATAGGTTACGTACTTTCAGAAGGCATAGGTGCTCGTCATTGGTTCACTTCTCGGCCAACTATCTCTCGAACGCCGTCTCATGACGCAACCTTCGAACGTGATGGTGACGGCCGCTTAATCCCTACCTCTCTGTCATATTTGATTCCTTTAGAAATTGCAAAATAATCGACAGCGCGCATTGTCATGCGCGCACATGTACACACCCACAACTCAGACTGGATCGCTCCATCTTTACCTCCCTTATGTCGCGCTCTTCGACGACGTGAGGCCGCGTCGTGTTCTACCAGCAGTGCTGCTTGCGCTGCCCTCTGTAAGCCACTTTTCTACGGACGCATGCACTCGCTTACTCAGAACAGCTAGAACGCCGTCCGGTAGAACTGCAGTCGAACTGCATTGCCTTGCTACAAAAGAGCCTATAGTACCATGGATAAGGTAGAGGAACTCCTCTGTGAATCCAGCCATCATGTGTCGCAATAATCGTCTATGGATAAAGAGAAAAGAAGATTCGATGCAGAAGAGCAAAACAATAGCTCACGAGACTTTTTCATACACATATTATGGTAGCTTGTATACGGGTACTCAACTATCCTTTTAGCTGAAGCTAATAAGAGAGCCGCGAAAACTACCGACAGCGGCAGTCGCGATAGATTACCACAACGACCAGTGAAGTCCTGTTGAGGAGGCAACTTGGCCGAACAATAGGGTCGTAGCAATGGTGCCTTGCGGTGCCGTCAAGCAACCTGCCTTTATGGCGGGGGCAGACACACTGTTTATCGTGGGTCGTTCGGGAGGACTTGGGAACAAAGAGAAAGAATCTATAAGGAGAGCACAGGTGAGTGGTGCTACATACCGAAAGCTGACTGAACGAGTGTACGCAGTCGTGAGTCATCGCTAGAACATTGAAGTAGGAAGGTAGAGAAGAGGGCGGTATTGGTAGTGGCTGTATACCGATGTCGCTTAACACAGGAAGAAACAAGCCCCTTAGGCCATTCGCACGGAGTGGAACCCGGCTAAACGAACTGTCGACCGTCGAATTGGTAGAGTGGGAGATAGCAGAAAGAGAATGAGGGAGAAAGAAAAGAAGATGAAGCAAGCACAGTCGGAAGGAAGCTGAAGACCAGCAAAGCCTCACGCAGCCGACGGAGCATTCGCGTATGTCCGGCCAAGCTTGGTTGTTCATCTCTCTTTACGGCGGCTGTGATCGCTTGACAATAGCCTCTCACCCGCCGCCATCGGCCGAAACAATCCGAAAGAAGGTGGCCTGGAAGAAATCTTGCGCCTGCTTCTTAGTAGTAGGGTATGACAGGACAGACATTCTGGTTCCTATGGCCCATTTAGAGGCTGCTGTACTGCCCTGCCTGTGTACTTCTTTCACAATTCTGTCAAAGATAGGTTGTAAGCGAAATAGGTTGAGACAGCATGGAATAGGACCCTACCCTGAATTTCTTACTATACACGATGCCCCTTGGACACCTTTAGTCCCTCAATGTGCCGTAAAGCCTCCGCTAACCCCCTTCGCTTTCAGGTTCCCTCGGCGTTTCCCAAAAGCTCTTCGCTGCTGTTTCTCCTAATGTCGATGGGCCCTTGAAAGTGGGGATAGTCGACTAGACTTCTGCCTCGCCAGCCAAGTCAGGCACCAGCTGTCAGCGGTTGTAGGAACTATAGATACACGAGGCCGGGAAAGAACGTCCGCTGCACACTCGACTGAACTCTTTCGCTGGCTGAGTCGCAGTCTTTACAGCCGTAGCCGTCGCTGACACTGCCGTTGATACGGATTGATGGCAGATACTTCGACGTGCAGCCACCACTGTAGCACGCTCGAGTGAGCTTGCCCTTTTTTAATAGAAAGCGGATAGCCAAAAAAGGATTGAGCTGAGCGGGCAGCCAGCGGACTATATAGCTAGCTGATGTTTCATGGAGGTATCGATGCATGTTGTTTCATAACGCCACTCAGACACTGTGAAAATATAATGTATCTTACAATAAATTCTAATATCTATCGTATGTTCCTGTGATTTAATTCAGTATTGGTGACTGTAGTATAGGGCATCGCTCATTAAAATGAGTCGCAACATATCGCTAGATCCAGCGTATTCTCCGTCTAAATAACGGTTGTATATCGTTTACCTACAAAATATGGTAGAAGTGGGTATAATGCATGAAGACGTTAATCCCTTCTCCTACTATGGATGATCTAATGCGATACATATGAACTGCGGGATTAAGCTAATCGCCCAGAAACCACTGTATTGGTGCGCTGTTCCGTAATGCTTCCGTAGTGTACTTGAGTTAACCCAATAGCGAGTAGCGTTTCGTTAAAATAGCAAAATCGAGTTATAGGCGTGACGGAATTAGGGAATAGGGCAACTTCGAGGTGTTGTTGTTTGTCGAGATTCAGCTAGGGCTTGATCAATTTTGGAACTTACCGAATCTGTATTAACATATAACGCTGCTGATATGACCAATGACAGAGGAAATGACACAAATCGATCCCTATTGTGTTATTGTAACAGAAGCACCAGACACTTCAGCGATTATTGGGTTCCAGGTAGGTCTGCCTGGTCTTTGCTCGTTAAGTTAAGAGATGAAACATGTGGAAACACCTTGGTAGCCCTGGTTATCACACACGAAAACGAATTATGAAAAGCCTCAATGAAAATTTACGAAGGCTCATAGCAGTTCGAAAAACGCACACGGTTTTATTTTTCTAATCTAGATACGCGTACAAATAGTACAAAACTGGACAGATGGCAGGCACTTTTTCAATAGGCCAACGTTGACGTTACCGGAAGGAAAGACGCCTTACCGGATTCATTCCCTTCGATGTGGTCGCAGTTTAACCCATATCTGCTCTGAGAATGGCTTAATGATTAAGACCACAGTAAACATCTGGCTGGCAGCAATGTGCTTCTTGTTGTCTGGCATGATTTGGATGCTCCCCGTTTCTATTAGTTTACAAAGAAGCTGTATTTATATTATACTTCCTGCTGCCGCGTCAGCCCGTGTACTGCTTTACAAGCACCTATTTGCAAACGGACGGCGTTACATCTGGATACTATCTAGTTCTTTGTCATAAACCACCAACAGTAACAACGAGCACAACAAGAACATGACCCCCCCCCCCCCCGCTCATTGCGGATGACGATTTCCCCAATAATAGCTATCTCACGCTCCGTGTCATCGTGCTAATCATTAGCTCCTCTCTCGGGCACAAGGCACTACTTCGTTTCGGATATGGAAAGAATAGTTGAAATCACTACGACGTCAAGGCTGGACGCTTTACTTGTCCTGCTGTGGCTAACTGTCCCTAGGTTTTTGGGGTGCCGTGTCTCATAGATCGCCGCATGCGGCTGTTGACATCAGTGATCGTCTGTTCTTATCTGTGCAATCTGTGTGTATGTAAGGCCAGTTGAGAACTTTCGCTGTTATTATATACCACTATTATTACTGCTGTTAGTATTATTATTATTCTTGTTATGGACATAATGGAGGAGTCTGCAATCATCACGGAATCCCCACTTGTAGTTGGCTGACTGGTCCTTTATTGCCGCTACGACCAATAATTGGTTGTAAATATTTGAAAGGCATTGTTCAGTGCGTGTATTGTCTCGCACACGAACTGTATACATGCTGAGAGATTGAACAGATTTTTGTGCTGCTCTCTGGGTACTACGGTGCAGTTTCTGTCTAATCTAGCTCAAGTTGTTGCCACGGAACGTTAACCGAAATGCCTATGCTGATGGTTTACGTGTAGACACAAATACACACACATACAAATATAAAGATACTTATTTTCAGGTCGCAACGATGGCAAAGCGCTGCGACCAGCTCAACTGGCGCGGCCGCAACGACGACGGTTCCTGCAGATTTAAGCAATTACAGAAAAAGGCGCAAAAGAAGACAAACGTTAGCACGTTTTTTGAAGAAAATTTTATGTGAAAAAGTGGATCTTCGGAGAAGTATTGGTAGTGCTAAAGTAGCTTCCATAATGGGGCAAGTTTCAGTGTGCAGACGGTGTTAATAAAATCCACCACAATATCTATTTACGGAACGTGCTGTAACAGCCGCGCATACAAAATAGTTTCTTCCTATTTAAAGATCCCGAGTAACAATGTCGTACTGAGTCGATAAAAATTCTCTATCGTCAATCATCATCAATAATGTAGCTGCATAGGCCGTTGTCCGTTTCATAAAGCATAACAGGAAAAAAGGTACGAAACGAAGAAATGGGCCAAAGGATCTAGCGAGTACAGACCATTTGCCATCTCACTGACTCAGCCTCTGCTTACCGCAATTTCCAATGGTGAAAACTGCCAGCAAATCTAGTGAAGATATTATCTTAAATCGCAGATACAGTAATACATATTCCACTTTTCTAAATACCCATCCAATCATTAAGGAGATGTATATATATATATATAGATTGATCTTAAATAATGTCATTTATAGCAGTTTGATTGAAATAATCAAGAAGATGGCCTCATTGTGCAAGTAACAGGGTTGCTCGCCTATGATGAAAACGCTAACGTAAGCAATACCCACTTCTCCGTGGCTCTGCTGTTTAAACGATAGCCAGCGCGGTCAATCGGGGCATTCTGCTAAATCTTGATTTTCATTTCACGACTTCACTCCACTTGAAAGTGTTAGCCCCTGAATTTATAAATCACTGGCACAACGCATGTCAATACAATGTCTGAGTGTTTTTTTGTTTTAATAATATATATTCGATAAAAATGAAACTAAGAAGTCTGCCGGAATTGCAAGACCTTTTGAAATTTTCTATCATTTTTCTCCATCTTTATCTAGGTCAGTGGCTGCATTTAGTCCGGCTATCTGTGCGAGGCAGCCGTACTGGGCAAGAAAATAGCAAAAAAAGACAGAACACCACCTACGTGGGCTGAAATTCGGTAGGTGTGACACATACGACTTACTGATAGGGCTGAACGTATCGGCTTGCGATCTGAGTCTGTACATCTATGAGTTTGCAAATAGCGTTTTTATCGTTCCCTTGTAATCTGCTTCAGCTTGCCATGAATCCATGAGGTCGCGTTGCCCAGGACGACGGCGACATCTTACTCACACGCACATAAACAAATACGCATATACGCACAAACAGCAGCCAGAAAATGGTGCGGCTTTGCAAGCACTTTACGTCGCCGCCGCATTTACGTACGTGAAAAGCGCTATCCCTTCGTTCCAATAGCCGTTCCTTAACGGAATCTTTTTTTTACTCTTCATCGCTATACGTTTTCGTTTTTGTTTTTTTAGTTTTCCTTGTTTCTCGCCCTGTGCCAGTCAAGTCAAGTTAAATCGAGTCCCGTTTTGTGGCTTTGTTTCTCTTTGTCTTTCAATCTTGCTTCTAGCTTGCCATCCTGATTTTGACTGGCGTTTAGCACCGTTCTTCGTGGTCTTTCTATAGAAATCTCGAACGGATCCTAGTTAAGCTTCATTTTCACTTATGGTTGCGATGAGGAAGAGTCAGCTGGCGAAAAAACCGGAACGTCTACTGTTTTACCGACTATAAGTTGCTGCTCCCATCTCTTTACCGCTACGCGCGCGCTCGACTCTGCTTTTAGGTGACATTTTGGGTGCCATTCTAACTTACATGGTTAGGTTAGAAAGATATCCAAACAAACCATAGTTTTTGAACAAAGTCGGCATCTAAGTGGCGGACGAAGGTCGTTCACCGAAACTTTTAGAATCGTTTGAGACTACTCACCAGTAAAAGAGAACAGAAAAAAGGGGACAGCCTAAAATCACTACAAAGCTTAAAGTTTAATTTCCAAGAAGAAACGTTCAAATGAAACGCCTAAAAAGAGGAAAAATGGACGTGAGGTATAGAACGCATTAAACATCGCTATTGCCAATGAAGCAGAATCTCGGTTGCAGTGTGGGCGACCGTTAAAGGCAGGCAGGCAGAGTTTCGCAAGTAGCTGCAACCGAGACTTCTTGGCGCATCAGCTCTTGCTGAAAGTCTAGCCGCTTCTGACATACATTGTGTACACCAGATATGTGATGCACCCTTGGAACTGCAAACTGCCCAATACCATCTACACAGTTTTACAAAGCTATCGACCTTATATCGATTGAGAAGTAATTATGTCCTATGGAGCAAGGAGGGAAAGATCGACACAACCTAAGTTTCCTGCAGGATATCGACAATAGCAATTCAATCACAATTTATATAAATTTCCGTAGGGACAGAAACTGTAGCTAACAGCTCGCAGTTTATCTCTAATAAGTTTTGTTTTAATTGCAAGCGAAAATCTCCACAATAACCGAATAAATCATACCTTTGCACTTACACTTTTAAACAGTGTACAGAAAGCTGTCCCATAGTAGCTGGTGGCCGTATTTGTTTTTTAGCATATATATTCATGGCTGGAAAGCTGCAGATAATTATTGACGTTATTGGAGACTTCTTGAAACCGACCGTTAGTCTTAACGATGCTCTAAATTATGATCTGTTAGATGGTAACTTATGCGTGCAAAGGCATTGCTACCGAAAAATAGCGCCTATCTAACTGAATTGATTAGGTTCGTGCTATGTGGGTCTTAAGAGCCTTGCTTTTTCTATTGTCATCGTCATTGATAATAGTCACTGTGGCAGAGTTCGCTTCGAGGTACATAGAATAGATCGCGAGGAGGAACCGGCCAAGTTATTAACTATTTTTATCTTGCACACATCCAGTTAGATTCTTTCTGTTGCGCCTTCATGACGCGAATTGGCCTATTTCATTCGTTCTTTTGGCCTCTATTATATGCTTGAGGATGCTGAGGCAGTGTGCGTTGCAGCGACATTAGAACCACCACATTACAGTAGAAAGTATATGCCTTTTATATATTAGGGCGGTGCAAACGGTCGGCCTCCTGCAGATGGAGGACGTGCCTATC